AGAAAAAGTAAAACAATTATTATCAAATGCAGAGAAAGCAAAAGATTTCATTAATGCTGCAGATAAAGTAGGAAGAACAGCACTGCACTTAGCTGCTGCATATGGAAATTATTATTTGGTTTGGACTTTGTTGAATCACGAATTTAGAGCAGATGCTGAGGATCAACTACTTGGTTGGAGGCCTTTAAGATATGCAGATAAAGACGGTCATTGGGTAACTGTTGAATTACTCCTTAGAAAGGGTGCGAATGCTTGTGACATTTGTGAAGCAATAAAAAGCCTTGAAACTTATGATGCTGAGAAACCAAAAAAGATTTTATTACACGAGGCGGCGCAAACAGGTTTAGTAGATCTTTTAGAGGCTCTGATAGAAAGTAAAATAAATATGATTAATGTTGTTGATGAAAGAGGGTGGTCTCCTCTTCATTATGCTGCATATGAAAAAGTTGCCAATCTTTTAATAAAACGAGGAGCCGATATTGAAGCCAAAGATATGTATGGAGAAGCACCTTTGCACTGGGCTGTGAGGCAAGAAAATATTGGGGTTGTCGAGCTTCTAATAAAAGAAGGTGCTGATGTTGAAGCTAAAGGTTATCATAATGAAACTCCCCTATTTTCAGCTAGAAGCAAGAAAGTTTTCGAACTTTTAATTGCCAAAGGCGCTAATATAAATGCTAAAAATAGCAAAGGCTATACACCTCTTCACAGTGCTCTTATGAATGAAAGGGATGAGGTTACCGAGCTTTTAATAAGAGAAGGTGCTGATGTTGAAGCTAAAGGTTATCATAATGAAACTCCCCTATTTACATCTAAAAGTAAGAAAGCATTCGAACTTTTAATTACAAAAGGCGCTGATATAAATGCTAAAAGTAGTGAAGGTTATACACCTCTGCACTGCGCTGTTATGAAGGGAAGGGATGAGATTGTCGAGCTTTTAATAAAACAAGGTGCGGATGTTGAAGCTAAATGTCATCATAATGAAACTCCCCTATTTTCAGCTAGAAGCAAGAAAGTTTTCGAACTTTTAATTGCAAAAGGCGCTAATATAAATGCTAAAAGTAGCGAAGGTTATACACCTCTGCACAGAGCTCTTATGAATGAAAGGGATGAGGTTGTCGAACTTTTAATAAAAGAAGGTGCGGATGTTGAAGCTAAATGTCATCATGATGAAACTCCTCTATTTTCAGCTGGAAGCAAGAAAGCATTCGAACATTTAATTGCAAAAGGCGCTAATATAAACGCTAAAAGTAGCGAAGGTTATACACCTCTGCATAATGCTCTTATGAAAAGAAGGGATGAGGTTGTCGACCTTTTAGTAAAAGAAGGCGCTGATTTTGAAGCTAAAGATTACCGTGATGAAACACCTTTGTTTAAAGCTAGTACCAAGAAAATGTTTGAGCTCTTAATTGAAAAAGGCGCTAATATAAATGCTGGAAATAATATAGGTAAAACACTTCTGCACAGTGCTGTTCTGAGCGAAGAGGACGAGATTGTCGAGCTTTTATTAAAAAAGGGAGCTGATGTTGAAGCCAAAGATTGCTTTGGTTCAACTCCTCTATTTGCAGCTAGAAGTAAGAAAGTATTTGAACTTTTAACTGCAAAGGGTGCTAATATAAACGTTAAATGTAGCAATGGGCTTACGCTTCTGCATTACGCTCTTTTGATCGATAATGAAGAAGTTTCCGAGCTTTTAATCAAAAAACGGCGCTGATGTTGATGCTAAAGGTCCTGATGATGTAACACCTTTGTTTGTCGCTGGAAGCAAAAAAATTTCCGAGCTTTTAATTGCTAATGGCGCCAACATAAATGCTAAAAGTCGGAATGGTTTTACACCTCTGCACGCTGCTGTTATGAATGAAGAGTATGAGGTTGCCGATTTTTTAATAAAAGAAGGCGTTGATGTTGATGCCAAAGATTCTCATGATGAAACGCCGCTGTTTTTAGCTGGTAGTAAGAAGGTATTCGAGCTTTTAGTTGCAAGAGGCGCTGATATAAATGCTAAAAGTAGTGAAGGATATACACCTATGCACACAGCTGTTATAAACAATAAGGAGGAGGTTGTTGAGCTTTTAATAAAGGAAGGTGCTAATGTCAGTGCTAAAGATAACCTTGGTAGAGCACCTCTATTTTATGCTAATAGTAAAACGGTCCTGGAGTTCTTAATTGCAAATGGTGCCGATAAAGTTACGGGTATGCAGCTCTTAATTGGGCTCTAATGAAGAAAACGCATGAAATTGTGTTGCCATCTATAAGAAAAGGCGTTCAAGTTGAAGATCGAAATAGCTAGAATGATACAAGAAAGCAAATATCTGCTCAATATGGTTCCCAGGAGAGAATTGTTTAATACTTCATAAGAACATATTCCTCTTAAATTACTTATACAGTTGTGAGGGCCAGAAACGAATGCGTTTAGGCTATTACTCGTGGAGTTGACGTGGGAATTAACTTTTCTACATCCTTTATCAGTCTTTATTTTTATAGATTTAAGCGGGTTTTGCCAATATTAAAAATTACATCTTCTGCACAATTATAGATACGATTCTTCATTTTCTATTTCATATGACTTTTGAATAAACAAATGATTGAATTAGAACTAATTAAAGACATGTTGGCAAATTCCTTATTACAGTGCCTTATGAAATAAGAAAGAAAACTGCTATGCCTTTAATATCTCAAAGTTTTAATGTTGAGTGTTTAATTAACTTCAACCATTCTACTCAAACTTTGCTGTCACTAAAGGTTTTAAAAAGCTGTTTATATTTTTTACAATTTTGTTAAACTAATGAAATTGTTTTTGTTACCATTAAATACTTAGATCAAAACACCTCTTTGCACTATACAACTACTATTAGGAATAAAAACATTTTGGATCATGTCTTATATTATTTTGTAATAATGTAATAGACCGAACCTTAACTACAAATTTAGTAAACAAGCTATGCAATGCAGGTTAAAGGATATCTATACTCCTACGTTTATTTTTGGTATCTTCTTAAACTGCGTGAATTTCTTCAGAGTCTAAGTGCTGCTAACTGACCTACAAGTGAATAACTACATTCATTATTTTTTTCAAACTCTTTTCCTTAATGATTGGATTTCTTTCACGTTGTAGAAGACACATATTAGCATTGAAGTACGACATTTTAAAAGAAAAGTTATGTAGTACGAATAAATGCTTAATTTAGATAAACTGATTAAAATAATCATCAGTAAAACGCTTAATTTTAATATCATTTAATTGCAGAATTGCGTCAGATGTTGAGGATGAATAATGTCTCAAATTCAATTTTTTCTAATCATTAAAGTAAAAATCATACATCTAAGCACATTAAATTATTTGCAATTCTTCTCTACTTGAAGCAATAAAAAGTTGCTTTTTTTTAAATTCTAAATTAATAGTAGCAACAACAAACTCTATAGTAGCAATCGAACTTAATAGTAGCAGCATTTTTTTTCTTTCAGTTTTGAACGTGAGGAAAAATACATTTTTTTTTACATATTTAGTTTTGAGATTGTGTATTTTATCTCTTCCTCATGAAATTGTTGACATTAAACACCGTGTGAAGTAAAGTACAATTCTTCTGTACAATAGGGAAGTGATAGAATGACTGACAAAGTCGATTTGAACACTATTTCTTCTTCTTTTTCTATTACCGTACTTAAATCATTGATTTAATAAAAAAAGGGATGTCCAACACAACCTTTCTTGCACATAAATGTGATTTTAATAACGCAGAAAAGGTTTTTATAGTCAACTGACAAGTAAATTTGATCTCCACTTATGCTTATTTAAAAAAAAATTCAGGGTGTTGAAGAATAACCACCATTACTATATGGTTTTGAATCTATTGAAAAAATTAAATAAAGAATATACACATTTATACATTAAACTAAATAATAATTATGAGATGAAAAAATGAACACAAAATCGAAAGCGTATAAGTAACTATGGAGAAGGCGGAATTACAATTTTACAATCATCTAATTACATCTGCATTTTACATCTAATTACATTTTACATCTAATTACAATGTAACGCTTTAAAGTTTTAGCATTTGATTCACTTTTGACTACTTTTTTGAGTCACTTTCGACTTTCGCAATGTAACAATGCTCTACGAATTAAACATTTTTTGCGCATTAAATTGTGAATATTGTTTGATGTCAGTAAAACAAAAAGCACTGGAAAAAAAATTTCTGTAATAAATGAATACTATAAAAAGTTTTAAATTGAAGAAAAGAACTTTGAAAAAAAACAAAATATGAAACGTACAGAATGAAAATATGAGTATCAAATGAACAATAATAGATTAACTTGATCTTAAAAATTAAATAGAAAAATGTGCTTGATATTTTAATTTATTTCGTTTTACATAGCGCAGAGTAACTATTAATTATTAATACGTTATTTTAAAAGAAAATTGTGTAATCTTTTAATGATATGAAACATTGGCCCTAACTTTCTAAAAAACATTATTTTACTCGACTGTTTCTTTGCTTCAAGGATTGGTTCAAGACTTCAAGGATAATTTGAAAAACTGTGATAATTACGTTATATAATAATTTAATTAGCAAAGCAAAATTGCGTTTATCACATTTTTCAAAGTATCAATTCTTTTAATCTCCTTAAATGTTAGAAAAATTTTGAAATTGTGTTTTATTTTTAAGTGATAATTGTCTTTACAAAATCCCTTTCGCGTAATTTAAAATGATTCAACTCTAGTAATTTGACTCTGCAACAAATTTCAATTAAGAAAACTGATTAACACATCAGCACTCAATTGAAAGTACTCAGATTTTAAGCATTCATATTGAAAACATTCATATTAAAAAAAAAAAAAAAATTATGGAGTTTGTTCCAGATAATGATGATGTGCTCAAATTCATATCCTTTTACATTGGAACGAAGAGCTAAACAATAGATTCTGTGGTTTCATGTTGTTATTCATTCATGTTAATACATTATTCATGATGTTATTGTTCATGTATGATGTTATTATTTGTGAATAATGTTATTATTTGTAAATAATGTTATTATTAGTAAATAATATTATTATTTATGTATAATGTTATATTATTTATGTATAATTTTATATTATTTAGGTATAATGTTATTACTCATGTTGTTTATTCATGTTTTTATTAAATACGATCTTGTTGCTATTATGCGGGGGGGGGGGTTTAGTGTTTCCAAGCTTCAAAAAAAAGTTCAAAAATAAGTTTTTAACAACACAAGGTTTTAACGGAATACAAATTCTGTTAAGATAAAAGTACAAAAAAACAGTGTAAAATGACCATTCCCGATTCATTACTGTAGTGGTCATATTAGATACTTGGTTAAATTGTAGAGAAAGATGAGCTATTGTTTTTCGTTTGTTTTTTGTTTCTTTTTTAAATAAAACTTTATACATTATTTCATTCTTGTATTAAATATAATTCATATTATATATAAAAAATAAAGATGTATATAAATATGATAATCAATTTTTTAACATGGCTTTATTGTTTTATTCAGCAATTATCTAGAATGTATTCAATTTTTTACATAAATGCGATATTAAACTGATTAATTTAAAACCGAGATATGCACGCTTTTTTGTTATACCTACCATTGAAGGAGTGAATCGAAACTAACGCCATTAAATTAAAGTTTAGACATATGAAGGTTTTAGTGGAAGAACCATGTACGTGACATTTTCAGAGTCGCTATAATCAAGGCAAGAAGAAAAAATGAAATATCCGATTTATTTTATTATCTATTTTTTTGCCAGCGAGGCTTTTAATTATTTGTTTTATTTCATTTACCTATACTAATTTGAAGAGTAAAATCATCTTAGCATACTCAAAACTTATGTGGATTAGTAGCGTTAAAATTAAAGGGCAAGCAAAAACAATTCTGACACATTAAACATTAAACATATTCAAGTTACCACTTGTTATAATATTTTTATAAATTAATTAATATCCTCAAAAATGTCATTTATCTACTTCTACACTGTAAAAAATTCCGAATTACGTTACGGAAAAAATACCCGCAGTTAATATGTCGGTACAGTTTACAGTAAAATTCCTTTTAAACGAAATTTACTGCACAAAAAATCTGATGTACTGTAATTTTTACAGCGGTAATAACCGCAAATTCACTGAATCACTCTAAATAAAAAAATATAATAGTAAAAATTACGCTATCATATTTTAGGGTAAAAATGGATTTTGCAGATAATGCACATAAAGTGCCGAAATTTGACCCAGAATGTTTTACAGTGTACCACTAAACTCCTAATAGATAAGACATTACGACCTAGTTTGATAAGATATTACAGTACGATTTGAGCAGGAATCCTGCGCGTTGTATGTGTAAAGACATGCAAAATTCTACTATGTCTAACTATTGAAACAAAATCAACGAATTATGTGTTTTGTTATGAATTCAGTTGTCTAGTGTTTCCGAAATGATTTAAAAACTATTCTTTTAATATGAAAGAAAAATTTACTCAGATTAAATTGAATGAAATTAATCATTAACCAAACATAAATTTGTTCATAATATTTTTCTTCGGACATTTTGTAATACTAATCTTTCTGAATCTATATTAAGTGTTTGGATTGATTTGCATTTTGAGTTGATTCACTAATGGTACTTCATTGTATCCAGAATTTAAATTTAAAAAAAATTCCTTTTTCACTTCTCTTTTTAATGCGAGTACGTCAGCGGAGAATAAAAAACATTATATTTCGTGTTTAGGCACCGAGAACGGTTCTCGTTTATAGAACCGAAACTATAGTAAGTCCATTTATATTCCTTGGTTTGTGCTTTGGCTCGCTTTATTGTTACGTTGCATAAGGAATACTCTATACTGTAATCAATCAGAGATGAAATTATGATATAAAGTTCTGTCACTTTAGTGCATAAACAATTAAAACTGAGGAAAAATATTTTATTTGAGGAAAAAATGCTTTTTGTTTAATTATTTGTTTTAATTAAAAAAAATTTAAACTTTCTGTAAAATTTAAAATAAGTTACTTAAGTAAGTCAAGATAAATTGCTGAAAGATTTCTTTTGGAATTTTTTTTTTTAAAAAAAGGTTAATTTGCATGGTAAGCAAATCCAAAAAATAAATTTATCTCTTAAAAGAAAATATTTTCAGAAAAAATAATAATGTGGTGGTGATGAGGACAAATGTAATTGATAAGGTCCTCCGTGTTTTTGCGCAATTTGTACATCTCCTGTGATTTTGAAATACTTATATTAGTAGATTATTTAAGGATTATAAAACAAAATAAACTTATGAAATTGTATAATTTCATTTTAAAATTCCTGAGTTAAATATCTCTATGGTTACAAACTGTCAGTTATCTGTTTCGTTCTCGTTATCAGCCTATAATTTTTTTTTCTTTTTATCTTATCGAACCTTTAGCGTTCCATTCCATCATTGCTTGCTTGATTGTCAACACCAATTAGAAAAAATATCTTACCTAAGCTTAAAATTGCCTCACATACTATTTTAAATCTTATACTCTGCTCACATCTTACAGACAAAGATCTAATTTAACATTGACCAGGTATAAAAATTAAATTTTGTATTTCATTATATTCATTATTTTTTCAATAATACTTTATTAAGAAGAACATTATAGATATTTTAAATCGAAAAATTGAGATGAATAAAAATTAAAGTTTCATTTCATTATGTAGAAATGTGTAGTTATGCATAGGAACATCATATACATTTGAAATTTCTCATTAAAGTATAAAAATGAACAAAAGGTTATTTAAAATTTTGTCAGTCTTTGTTATGACCAATCGTTTAAGAATATTTGTATATAATTAATATATATTTTTCTTATGTGGCGCTCTATGTGGTATTTCAGTA